ACCTGAGGTGGGTCTGGTACCTGAGGTGGGTCCAGTACCTGAGGTGGGTCTGGTACCTGAGGTGGGTCTGGTACCTGAGGTGGGTCTGGTACCTGAGGTGGGTCCAGTACCTGAGGTGGGTCTGGTACCTGAGGTGAGTCCAGGACCTGGACTCTGTTCTTCCTTCATTCCTGTTATGAAAGTTTAGGAAGTTTTTTAAAGCACTGACTGTCCTTTTGTCTTTTTGTCTCTCAGGCTCTGTCCTCTTCTGCAGGGACATACCCCATGTTTATATTTGCAGAGGGACACAGACAGGAAGAGGAGGAGGACGACCCCCCCGCCAACACCACCTACGTCCAAAGACAGAAGAAACACAGAAGACCAGAGACGACCAACAGTTTGGACGAGTTTGTTCTTCTGTAGAGGAAGGTTGGATCAACCTGAAGGACTCTATTGTTGTGGCAGCACAGCCAGCAGGGGGCAGCTTTAATCTCCGGGGAGTGGGACGGTGCCTTGCTCAGAGCACCTCAGTGGTAACTTGGCAGTTGGTGGACTTGAACCTGAAACCTTCTGGACCCAAGTCCTGCTTCCTTAACCACTAAGCCACCACTGCCGCCCCCTGGGCAGGAACAGGTTTATTTTTCAGTCCAATTAATAGAAAATGTTGGTGTCATGTGACAGGATATGATGTATTTAATGGAGTCATGTGACTGCACAGAAATAAGCTCCACTGATGAACAGAATGACAAGAATAAAGGATGGAGCTGATGTTGATGATGGTTTTTATGTTCAAATCCACTGACATTTTGTACTGCAGGTCTGACAATATTGTTCTTTGTTAAAGGGGCTTCATGTTGACACCTTCCTTGTTGGGTTTTTACCTGTAAAACGGTTGTAAACTTAAAAAGTGACTCTTTAATACAATAATTCCAATAATAACATTTAAAGGTACAGTACGTAGGATTTGGAGACCTCTGCAGGTCAGAAGTATTGTGGTCAATATCAACGTCTCAGTTTGCATTAAAACACAAGCCGTAACATCAAGGCACTGTTTTATATTTGGATTGTGCCGATACATAATGACTGTTAATACGCAGTGGAACTTTGAAGTTATTACACCATTAAAGCACAAAGTCTCAATTTGACCCGATCACAAATACAATGAATAAATGAACAGGTTCATTTAACGATACTATGTAAGGAATAAAGGATGACGTAAAAACAAGCAGTGGCAGCCAACTGCCGTAAACCGACACGGAACGACGAAAAAGGGAACAAAGACACAATAAATTGAAGAAAAAAAAACAACAACAACCCGATACTGTTCGAATAAGCCATCCCATCATAAAGGATTTAAACTTCTTTGAGATTTACACGCGTTATCAAGCGACTGTTTCCATGACACCACACCCACGGTCAGTGTGTCCTTCCGTCCACGATGTCCCCTCCCCCACACCGGCTCTTTCCTCTCTCATGCCTGCTTGGAAAGCCGCGAGCTCTCCCGGGCATGCAGTAAGTGACTAACACTGGTGGATAGGAGGCGCTGTTGAGTCACACCCCCGCTGGCCTCTGTGATACAACTACCGTCAGGAGGAGGAGGGGTGAAGGAAAAAAACCAACAGGGTAGCTCGGTCTTTGTTTCTGGCTAGGAGGAAAACCCAGAGACGTTGCAACCGGCGAGGAATCAAATATACCCTTTCACCGCTAGAGTAAGTAATGTGTAATTTTCTGATCGGATACAGACAGTTTTTGTCTTTACTTTCTCGACATTTTGATAAGAAACTAGCGTTAAAAAGCTCTGTTTTTTGTTTGAGAATCGGCTGATCCCGACGTTACTGTACCGCTGTGGCGCGACAGTGAGCAATGAATGAAAAGTGTTTTTGGAAAAGAACTCAGAGCGAAGCGCTGAGCCAAGGGTACGGGAGGCGCGTTGGATCAATCATCTCCGGCGATGCTCAGAGATGCTTCTACTGTTCACATGTCGCCGTAACTTGTCCACAAATAGTGCAATTTTCTCTGAACCTGGCCTGGGAGAGCATGGCCGGCTAGGCTAGTCCGTTAGCATGTCAGCGTCCGCTTCTAGTGTTGTGAGCCTTTTTACCCAGCAGCTGGACGTTTTAGTCTTGAGTATTTTCTTTGTGCGTTCATACGGCATTCGGTAAAGTTTTAACAACCACCGAGCGGAGAATTAAAAAGTCGACTAATGAACGTAAGCGCTTTAAGAAGCAAGAGGGTAAAGTGGTAGGTTTTATTGGGATAATGTGAACCGGCGAGGCCTGGCTAATGCTAACAAAGCTACAAATGCTAATAACAGTTAAACCTTTTGTTGTTATATTCCCAGTATAAACAAGTGGTTTTATTTTGCCTCTCGCATTGTGTGACCATCAGTTCGCTCCGTCTGCTCTTTAATAAGCTTTAATTCTAGTGTTTTTGGACTTTATTTTACCTTCGTCTGACCCGTAAAGTGACAGAAAGTTCTGATTCACTGTACCTACAGGACTTAGTACCGAATCCGTTATGCCGCGTCTTATCCCAGTGAAATGTGCTACGTTTTTTTTTACTACATTCGGAAATTACCTAAGAAACACCGGGTTTGAACTCGCTTACCGTTAAAGGGGCATTAAAATACTGAAAGCAGCATTTAAATGGTCTCATGTCTCTCAGTTAGGACGTTGACGTGTGATTCTAACTGCTGGTCCACCGTTATTCAGTTACCTTCCCGCGTTGTGTAAACAGGAAAGACAATTGGAATCCATGCTAAGTTGTCCAGTGATTCCTGGTTGTCACCATGGCTGTGTTAATTGCCCCTAACCTCCAGTGACTGCTCCACCTCAGGATGAGGCTGTCAGTTCTCCCCCATCAACACATTTTCTTCTTCGTTAATGTGCAGCTCTGGATAACTAACAAAAAAACGAAATACTGTTTTCTGGACCGTAACTACTGAGGAAAGTGTTTGTCAGATTTGGTCAGAATGACTTATGTGGGGCTTTATTATTATTACATACTCCCAGTTCCCCCAGGGGTCCTTGCTGCTATCACACATTCCCATTCTCCTGAGAGATGTCCACTCCTGACGCCCCAATGGGAGGGACACCTCGACCTGGACCCTCCCCAGGCCCAGGTCCGTCTCCAGGAGGAATGATGGGTCCCAGCCCAGGTCCCTCACCAGGCTCAGCCCACAGTATGATGGGGCCCAGCCCAGGACCTCCTGGATCGGGGCACTCCCATCCTCCACAGGTACCCTCAGGATATCCTCAGGACAATATGCATCAGATGCACAAGGTACAGATTTATCATCATTATTTATGTAGCTTCTATTGTTTATTATTATTATTGTAGTTTAAGTTGTTGATGTTTGAAACTGATGGGAATTCATTACGTGGGTCTAGAGTGAACTCTAAATTCAGACAAAAATGTGTCCATCTGGTGTATGGTATTTTGATTTACGTTGCATTTCTGATGTTTTGTTTTTTTTTTAAATCTCATGGCTGTTGTGTGTTTAAATTAGTTTGGTTTTCAACCTTGTTAATTCAGTATTGTACTGCCGTTTCTTCAGCCCATGGAACCCATGCATGAGAAGGGAATGCCCGATGACCCCAGATATGGACAGATGAAGGGCATGGGTATGAGACCGGGTGGACACAGTGGAATGGGACCACCTCCAAGCCCAATGGACCAACATTCCCAAGGTAAATCCATATCTAATGGTTTGCTGCCTAGAAAGTTGATGTAGAAGGTAAATGAGGAAAGACTGTTCATTTCATGTAAATATTTAACAATTTATTATAACAAATAACTCCAGCTTTAAAAACGCTATAGAGATGAGGCATTAAATAAACACACAGCCTGTCTGTCAAGGCTGACACAGAAGCAGGGTTGGAGGCAGCAGCTCCCATCCAGCCGGTTCCTCTTGTTTTGCTGCTCACATGGCAGCCGGGGTAAACTGCAGGGCAGTATCACAGGAGGGGGGAGGAGCTCCCCACCAGACAGGAGGGTGTCTCACTGTCTCGTTCAGGTGTTTGAATGGTAACAGCAGTGTTGAGGGAAAGTGGCTTTTATCTGGATTATTATGGATTTTACCTTGTCTTGCAGAACGTGTGAAAACTCAGATGTCCATGATCGAAATCCTTGTTTTTCTCACGTGTTCCCCAGGTTACCCCTCACCACTGGGTGGATCAGAACATGCACCCAGTCCTGTTCCAGCAAATGGCCCTCCCTCTGGTCCCATGATGCCTGGAGGCCCTCCTGGTCCCGGTGGTGGTCCAATGGATGGCAGTGGTGACCCGAACCAAGGAATGGGTCAACCTAACCGTGGAGGTCCCCAAGGTCCAGGTGGACCTGGTAGTGCGGGAAGTGGACCTGTTAGTGCAGGCGGACCCACTCCGTTTAACCAGAACCAGCTGCACCAACTCAGGGCCCAGATTATGGCTTACAAGATGCTGGCCCGGAGTCAGCCTCTACCAGAGCACCTGCAGATGGCGGTCCAGGGGAAGAGGCCCATGCCTAACATGCAACAGCAGATGCCTAACATGCCACAATCTACAGGACCAGGAGGTGGACCTGGACCTGGACCAGGACCAGGACCAGCTCAGGCCAACTACAACTTGCCATATGGTAATTAACTTTTATTTTAAAAATGATTCTAGTCTGTGTTGAGCAAAGGATACCAACTCAAGAGAGACCCCTGGTGGCGACATATTTCTCAGTCGTTTTATTCACACTGCAGTTAACAGTCTAATTTTAAATGTGCTGTGTTTTTGTTGCAGGTATGGTCGGGCCCAACATGGCACCCACTGGACCTACAGGGGTGCCCCCTGGTATGCAAGGCCAGCCAACTAACGGCCCCCCTAAATCCTGGCCTCAGGCCAACTACAACATGCCATATGGTAATTAACTTTTATTTTAAAAATGATTCTAGTCTGTGTTGAGCAAAGGATACCAACTCAAGAGAGACCCCTGGTGGCGACATATTTCTCAGTCGTTTTATTCACACTGCAGTTAACAGTCTAATTTTAAATGTGCTGTGTTTTTGTTGCAGGTATGGTCGGGCCCAACATGGCACCCACTGGACCTACAGGGGTGCCCCCTGGTATGCAAGGCCAGCCAACTAACGGCCCCCCTAAATCCTGGCCGGAAGGTAAACCCTTAACAAACTCTTTTGGTTCTGTTTTTGTCATTTTGAAACAGAACTTTAATTCTGTCCACGTCTGTCCCTGTCAGGACCAATGGTAAATGCTGCTGCCCCCGCCAACGCACCCCAAAAGCTGATTCCACCTCAGCCCACAGGACGGCCCTCCCCTGCTCCTCCGTCTGTGCCTCCTGCGGCCTCCCCAGTTATGCCCCCTCAGACGCAGTCTCCGGGGCAGCCTGCACAGCCCGCCCCTATGATGCTGCACCCAAAACAGAATCGCATCACACCCATTCAGAAACCCCGTGGGCTGGACCCAGTGGAGATCCTCCAGGAGAGGGAGTACAGGTGAGACTGAGGGGGAGTATATCAGTCTTCACTCGCCAGAGATCTGTATCCATTAATGACGTTGGTTCATTTTAGGCTCCAGGCCCGTATCACTCATCGTATCCAGGAGTTGGAGAACCTTCCTGGTTCTCTCGCTGGAGACCTGCGTACAAAGGCTACAATCGAGCTGAAGGCCCTGCGGCTGCTCAACTTCCAGAGACAGGTAGAAACATCCAGACTTTGTTTTGCTCAGTTTTCTGTGTTTTCTTCCCTTGTCATAAATCAGAACAAATGTTTTGTGCCTGTAGCTGCGCCAAGAAGTGGTGGTCTGCATGAGACGAGACACCGCTTTAGAGACGGCTCTTAACGCTAAGGCCTACAAACGCAGCAAACGCCAGTCTCTACGAGAGGCTCGTATCACGGAGAAGCTGGAGAAACAACAGAAGATCGAACAGGAGAGGAAACGCCGTCAGAAACACCAGGTACACAAGAGTCAAAACAACAACAACAACAAGAACTCATGGATCACCAGGCAATGTTTATATGCCTGATGTGGAAGGATCACAAGGCAATGTTTATATGCCTGATGTGGAATTCTTCCAACAGGAATACCTCAACAGCATATTGCAGCACGCCAAGGACTTCAAGGAATACCATCGCTCCATCACAGCAAAGATCCAGAAGGCCACCAAAGCTGTGGCCACCTATCATGCCAACACCGAGCGTGAGCAGAAGAAGGAGAACGAGCGCATCGAGAAGGAGCGAATGCGGCGGCTGATGGTGCGCCCTCCTGTGGAGACTTCCACTAATTGCAGTTGTTTTATTTTTTAAGAAAATGTGAATTTATACCTCCTTCTGTTTTCTTCTCCCAGGCTGAAGATGAAGAAGGTTATCGTAAACTCATCGACCAGAAGAAAGACAAGCGCCTGGCCTACCTGCTGCAGCAGACGGACGAGTACGTGGCCAACCTCACTGAGCTGGTCCGTGCCCACAAAGCTGCACAGGCTCTCAAGGAGAAGAAGAAGAAGAAGAAAAAGAAGGTAAAGGGATTTGAATCAACTTTCAAATGTTTTGATTTGATCTTTTTGATGTTGATCCTTCTTTTGAATGTGTTCCCAGAAGCCAGAGGTTCCAGAAGGTGGTGCTCCTGCGCTGGGGCCTGATGGAGAGGTGAGGTTTGAAATCTGTGTGAAGAAATCGTTCAGAGAACATTGTGGTGAACATGCTTTTAGTTAATTGTTACCTCTCTCTCTCACACACACACACACACACAGCCTCTAGATGAGACGAGTCAAATGAGTGACCTCCCAGTGAAGGTCATCCATGTGGACAGTGGTAAGATCCTGACTGGGGTTGAAGCTCCGAAGGCTGGTCAGCTGGAGGCGTGGCTGGAGATGAACCCAGGGTGAGTGGACCATCTGACAGTGTGTTGGTTCTACTGCAGGTTTCTGGAACAGTTTCTGATCAAGTCTGACTGTTTGTTGACAGATATGAAGTCGCTCCACGTTCAGACAGTGAAGACAGTGGTTCAGAAGAAGAGGAAGAAGAGGAGGTACCATCACAGACAAAGGGTGGGGGGCTTTTTTGTTGTTATTTTTATACTGAGTTTTTCCTGTGAACATCACCAGGATGAGGACGAGGAGCAGCATCAGCACGCTACAGCCCCGGCTGAGGACAAGAAGAAGATCCCAGACCCAGACAGTGAAGATGTTTCTGAGTTTGACGTGCAGCACATCATAGAGTAAGAACGGAGAGCAGGAGCAGGGGTTTGATTTGTGTCCTTTTTAATCACACGCCCCCTCACTTTATCCTCTCGTCTGGCTTCCAGACACGCCAAGCAGGATGTGGACGATGAGTACGGCAACGCAAGCTTCAACAGAGGCCTGCAGTCCTACTACGCTGTGGCTCACGCTGTGACGGAGAAAGTGGACAAGCAGTCCTCACTGATGGTCAATGGGCACCTGAAACAGTACCAGGTACAACTGGTGGAGTCACTTGTTGAGGCTGGTTTTCTTGTCTAATCTAAGATGATCTGTTGACTGATGAAGGGTAATCTGCTCAGATTAAAGGTCTGGAGTGGCTGGTCTCGCTCTACAACAACAACTTGAACGGCATTCTGGCCGACGAGATGGGACTGGGAAAAACCATCCAGACCATCGCCCTCATCACGTACCTCATGGAGTTGAAGCGAATCAACGGGCCTTTCCTCATCATCGTACCGCTGTCGTGAGTCCTTCAGTTCCTCTGCACTGACCGCCACTAGGTGTCACTAAGACCAAGGCTAATTTGTCAGATGATTATTACCTCAACAGCTGTCAGTCACTGTAGAAAACGATTGTTGTTGTACACAGTTCTGACCGCACACATCTGTCCTCAGGACTCTGTCAAACTGGGTCTATGAGTTCGATAAGTGGGCGCCGTCTGTTGTCAAGGTTTCCTACAAGGTCAGTGGCTCCTACGTGGGGCTTTGCCTCCCCCTGCCCCCACTTGTGTCCAAACAAATTTAAAGTTTAAAGTTTAAAATACACAGGCCCTTCAACAGTGGTGTTGCCCTTTCTCACCTCCAGGGGTCTCCAGCTGCTCGACGGGCATTCATTCCCATCCTGCGCAGCGGGAAGTTCAATGTCCTGCTCACCACGTACGAGTACATCATCAAAGACAAACAAGTGCTGGCAAAGGTGAGCCCCCCCACCCCCTCCCCCTTGTTGTCAGGTCAGGTGACTGGTCTTAAATCCTGACGTCTTCTTCTGCAGCTTCGTTGGAAGTACATGATCGTGGACGAAGGCCACCGTATGAAGAACCATCACTGTAAACTGACCCAGGTGTTGAACACCCACTACCTGGCCCCTCGCCGACTGCTGCTCACCGGGACTCCGCTGCAGAACAAGCTGCCTGAGCTCTGGGCTCTGCTCAACTTCCTGCTGCCCACCATCTTCAAGAGCTGCAGCACGTTTGAACAGTGGTTCAACGCTCCCTTCGCCATGACCGGAGAGAAGGTGAGCGTCAGCGCCTGAAGGCAACGCCACGTGAAAGTACACAGCCCTGATGCATTTACCTGTTCTCAACTCAAGGTGGACCTGAATGAAGAAGAGACCATTCTGATCATCCGTCGTTTACACAAGGTTCTCCGACCCTTCTTACTGCGTCGGCTCAAGAAGGAGGTGGAGGCCCAGCTGCCTGAGAAGGTCGGGAGATTGAACTGCTCTGAAAATATGTATATGTAGAATTTGTATTTAATCTCTCGCTAATATGTGGAAATATATTTTAGTTCACCTCACTGAGGTCGACCACTGTTTGATCTCTAACTCTACTTCCTGTTTACTGGATGTTCTTTATTCACTTGTTAGAACCAGGAATGATGGAATGATGTCATGTTCCAAACCTTCAACTGGTGTTTGTTTCCGTGTGCGTTCGTAGGTGGAGTACGTGATCAAGTGCGACATGTCGGCCCTGCAGAGAGTCCTGTACAGACACATGCAGGCCAAAGGAGTGCTGCTCACTGACGGCTCGGAGAAAGACAAGAAGGTAACTGACGGATCGTTCTGGTACAATCATCGTTCATCGTCAAAGTCCATCAGAACTGATCCACCGTTGTTTCTGCCCCGCCCTCTAGGGTAAAGGAGGCACAAAGACCCTGATGAACACCATCATGCAGCTGAGAAAGATTTGCAACCATCCGTACATGTTCCAGCACATTGAGGTACCACGGACTGTTAGAACTGTTAGAAGAGAGTGACAGAAGGAGCGAGAGAAGAAGTGAGAGGTTGATGAGTGACTTGATCTTCTCTGTCTCACAGGAGTCCTTCTCTGAACACCTGGGCTACTCTGGAGGAATAGTCTCTGGGTACGTCAGGTTCAAGGTTGTGTTGTTCACTGTGTCTGTGTGTTCTTCCTCCTGTCTCACTGACGATGAGTCTCCCCCTCTGCCCCCCCCCCATCCAGACCTGACCTGTACCGCTCCTCAGGGAAGTTTGAGCTGCTGGATCGTATTCTGCCCAAGCTCAGGGCCACCTCACACAAAGTGCTGCTTTTCTGTCAGATGACGACACTCATGACCATCATGGAGGACTACTTCGCTTACCGCAGCTTCAAGTACCTGCGTCTGGATGGTGAGACGCAGGAGAACAAAGCCGGGGCTTGTGGGCTCTCTTTGTCACGACCTGTTTTTTGACGGTTGTTGTTTCTAATCTGGTAGGAACCACAAAGGCAGAGGACCGTGGCATGCTGCTGAAGACGTTCAACGACCCGGCCTCCGAGTACTTTGTGTTCCTGCTCAGTACCAGGGCTGGAGGCCTGGGCCTCAACCTGCAGTCTGCTGATACAGTCATCATCTTTGACAGTGACTGGAACCCACACCAGGTACTGTTGGAGTCTGAGACTAGGATCACACTGGGACTACAGTTACACTGGTGGAATAAAACACCTCAATATACACCGTCAGGCCTGTAGTATCGCAATATATCGTATCGTTGCCCCTGTATCGTGATACGTATCGTATCGTCAGATTCACGCCGATACTCAGCCCTAGTATTTGTATTTCTTATATATATGATGTCAGTCTAGTTTGACATTGAATTAAACAGTTATCCATCCATCCATCCATCCATCCATCCATCCATCCATCCATCCATCCATCCATCCATCCATCCATCCATCCATCCATTTTCATCCTCTTATCCATTACCAGGTCGCGGGGGCAGCAGTCGCCACCCGCGTCACACTGCACCGTACCTAAACCTTCCTGCAGGTGGTGAGTCCACTGGAAGGTACCAACCGCTCTAACCGGGATTCGAACTTGCCCAGGAGGTGAACCCTGGGGTTCAACACCAGTGACAGAGACGTTGCCTCTGGACCAAAGCGCCACCAGTTTTTCATTTTTCTGTAATTATTTACTGAGAACGTGAGACAAAATCTCTTCAGTCCTGATCTGGAATCGATTCATTAACCTGATGAAGGGTTCCTTCACAGATGTTGGGAAGACTGGTTGGGTTTGCTGCCCCCAGGCTGCCGGGATTGGAACTTTTTCTTAGTAATAACAAACCCAATCCTGACCAGGGCTGCTGTGAACTGAAAATACAAAAAAAACAAATCTTTTTTTTTTTTTTTTCAGGACTAATCTTGGTTAAACGAGTTAAATCTGAACATGAACTCATTCTTTCAAGAAGTTCAATCCCGGGT